CCACGACTCAGTAAAGAAACCCACGTCAGTGGAGCTAATGTGATTAAAAGAGACATTTGAACTCTCCATAATGCAAGACAGACATGCTCATCTGAAGAACCATGTTTCAGACTTACCAACCAGATGAAATAGGAATAACACCTTGAATAAATGATGAGAAGGGTAAAAAACCCTTCTAATTTTGGTTCAATCTTTGAGTGATAAGGTCTTTTCCCTGTCTCATTATACAGACTTTATCATTTTAAAACTGAAACTGACCTTCAGTTTAGTAAAGTCCTCTCACTTTATAGATAGAAAACAGAGGCTCAGAGTTGTTTAGTAACTTTTCCAAGGTCACACAGCTTGCCAGAGTTGAGACTGCACTTGAAAACAAGGTTTTGTGCTAGTCAGTGAGGCTGTACTTGAACATTAGGCTTCTTACTAGTTAAGTGGCCAGGTGTAAACCTTTTCTCTTTTTAAGTTAAGAGAAAGAGTTTCTTCTTTGCCTTCCTGCTAATAGTTAAATGAAAACAATGCCTTGGAAATTGAAACAGTCTGGGATTATGATGTGGGAAAAGGATAAATTGTAAAGCAAATAAGGTGTGTTATTTTCAGGGGAAATGAAATTGACTGGTTTTCTTCACCAAGTGCCCTCAGGTATATATATAAGAAATAGATGTTTTCTAATCTTTCTCCTCTTTCTCTTTTCTGTGGCATTTTAAAGCAACCAGGGAACTGAGATCTAGTTTACCAGTTTCAAACTCAATTCTAGGAAGCGCTGATGTTCTTACAGAATGAAGGGAGGGACTGGGGGTGGGGGTGGGGTTACTCCATACACTTCTGGTCACCCGAAGTCCCCTACACCCAGGAAGAGCTGCACTTCTCTCTGCTTTGTATTTTGGAGTTCTAGGTAGAGTTCATTCAATGGAAAAAAAAAACAACTATCTCTAAGAAGAATTTTGCAAACTACACAGTTAGTTCAATCCACTCATTGAACTGTAGTTTAGAAGGCTCAGACCCAGGAAGACCAATCCAGGTTATGGATCCAGGCAATGCATCCCTCTCCCTCACTTCTTGCAAATGTCACCCCTACTGGTCCCCATTCCAGTCACCTGGTTCCAGTCCCCCAAGCCCACGTTTGGTAACAACCTGTCTCTGTAATCTCACACCCAGCCAGTGCAAGGTGCCCTGTTTTTGCCAAGGACTTTTCCTTTACTTAAACCATGTGTCTGATTGTCCTTGTGGAACTGCCACATGCAGGCCGTTACCCCAAGACTCCTGCTGTTCCTTCTGTCCCCTTCAAGTAAGCCATTGTAATTCTCATCATTGGCGATTCATTGCTAGAGTTGGGCTTCTTGGGTTTTTGCAAATATTTTATTGTCAAGTTCGAGCCATATGGTTCCTTTAAAACAATGTCAGTGGAATTTCCTTAGAATATCAGATTTTTAAAAAGAGAACCTGTACTTCTCAGTACTTCCTAAAATAATCTTTTACCGTTGAACCAATGATTTGTCATAATGTGGGCTCTATAGTAGGGTATGTTCCCTCTGAGGCTGGCAGACTGCCTGAGAATTAGAAGTAGATGGGGACCAGAACTCTTTACTTGCAGACACAGGGCCAGGGTACCCATAGGCAGCCTCGGGTGGTGCTTAGGCCACCAGCAAAGCCAGGGCACCTGAGAAAAAGAAAAAGAGAGAAAGGGAAAAAAAAAATAATCTGGCTTTGATATTTCAAATAAACCCCCTAAGAGTCATTGTAAAAAAAAAAAAAAAAAAATCAAAACATAAGCTTGAGATCTTAGTGTTTTCTTCCAGAGGGGCCACTTTTAATCCTTTCATTTTGGGGCCTCAGAGATCTTTATCTGGCCTGACCTAAGTCATCCTGGAGGCTTCCCTCCCAGATGTGGGAGAAAACTGCTCTGAAGTGCCCAGGCCTGAGTTTGCCTATTTCTCTTTGGGATATTGAGTTTGCCCCAGGTGAAAAGGTTTTCACAAATAGCTGGAGAAAGAAATCCCTTGTCCACTCACCAAACAGACTCAGTAGCTCACACTTCCACAGGGTCAACTTCCCTTCTGTGTATGGAGGTTTGCCTACAGGCTTTTGCCCTGGAGTTCAACTCTCCTTGGCTGGACAGGCCTCCTCCAAAACAGGACTGAGCATTCAGGCAGCTCCTTTTGGAAGACAATAAATGCCTCCAAAGAAATGGATGGGCTAGCTCTTCAGAAGAGAAAGTTTAGTTGATTTCTATCAGGTGCATGTTTGTATTTAAGAAAACAATGTCCCGCAAAAAATAATGTCATGAAAAATCAATTATCATGAGGAAGTATAGAAGGATTAAGTGTGTTTGCTTTACAATTTATACTGATATAGTTCAAGAATTCGGTTCTCTCCAAGAAAAATAGGGATGGGAGTTTTAGTATTTATAATGGTGAATATATGTCTGTGCAAATGATGTGTGATATTTTATGAGTGGGTGTGAAAGTGTATACAGGACTAAAGTGTGAATTTCTAATACGTGTATGTACCCAAAATGTACTCAATATCTGTTTGTGTGTATTTTGAGAGTGAGTGCCATCCAAACAAGAATGTGAGTTTATAAATGTTTGGATATTGGAAAGGTTAACTACAGACAATGAAGCAGATGTTTTAATGCATTCTCAGATATTTTAATAAGTGTCTTGATTTTTATCAGATAAAGGAAAGACAGAAAAAAGAGATGGATGACTCCTTTTTCTTTGGTTAAGTAAATTTTTAACAGCAGAAAACAGAGACAGCTGTGTGTCATCTATGGGATATATATATATACATATATATATAAAAAATTTTAGTAGGGAAATTATTATTCTTGGTGAGGATGAGAAATGAAACCTTCCTATGAGGAAGTTTCCTGTCTTTCTTGCTGATTGTGTGATGGTGTAATTACTAAAAACTTAAACTTGGGGGGCAGGGAGCTGAAGGGGAGAAGTTGTCCCTTCTGGAGTAACTGAAGACAAGCAGGGACGGGGGTGGGGGAAGAGGGGGAGAGTAGACAAACCTTAAAGGTCACATTCCCGCTGATGAGCTCCAAGGGGAAGAGAAGTGTGGTTTGGGGCTTGAGTTGGGGCTACGCTGCCATTTTTTCAGCAAAAGACCTGGCAGAGGGGCTGCTGCTCCCTGTTGCAGTGTCCTCCCTCCCTGCTTGCTTGGTAAGAGCAGCTGCTGGTCTAAGGTCCCCATATTTTACCTTCTCGAAGGAACCCACTCAGCCCTGTTTGATAAGCCTGAGCCAGGACCAACGGACCACAATTTGATTTGCTGGCAGATGTTGGGTGCCCAGCATGGGGCAGTAGTGGGGATCCCCAGGAAGCCTGCGGGGGATCTGCTGCACTGGTCTCAGCGTCAGCCTGATGTTCCTCTGGGACGTGGGGCCCATTGTCCCTGGGCTAGCAGGGTGCAGGATCATTAGTTAGAAGGTGATGTGGTCTCTGCTAGCCAGAGGAAATGGCCTGCTTTGTTTTCCACTCAGTAGGAAATGGAACCTGAATCCATTAGATTCTGGGCAGTTCAGCATTGCACAGTTTGAGCTCCTGGAGGCGCCATGCCTAAAAGGCGACTTAGGCGGATTCGTGTGTCCCGACCACCATTGTGCCGCGTGCCCATCTTTTATGCATTTAAAGCCTGTCAGGCTGGTAATCTAAAGCAGAGGTCTACAATGCCAACAGACACAGGGAATAGTAAAGTGCACCTGTAGAGTTAAAAAATGCATGACCCTTTCCCTCAAAGAGCGAACAGGGGAGAAAGACCCCCGTCCTGTAGGGTGGCTGCTGAGCAGTAATACATAATTCACGGGCCCATGCTGCTCCATGCAGATGGCGATATTAAATCATGATTGATGCTAAGAGAGGCACACATCTCAGGAAGGTCTCTGAGAGGCTTCTGAATATTTCCAGGTCTCGTGTGCCTCCCGTTCTCCTGTTCTACTGTGGTATTAAACAAAACCCCCCATTTCGCAGGCACCCCTCCTGGGGACTGTAGAACTTCACTTCCAAGTATGTGAGATTCTTCAAATGTCATCACCCACCTTTTCTGCCTTTGAAGATTGCCCCCTTCCCTCCTAACCCACATGAAGCTGTTTACCTCCAGCCAGGCACTGCTGGGAAGTGGGGGGGCTGTCTTTCCCTGCAGCTGCCTTTCAAGCAGCTGACTGGCTGGACAAAGCAGCAGCACACTCTGGTGGTGGTGACCAGGCAGGCGGGACAGTGGGCAGAGAGCTTGGAAAAAACACAGGCGTCCACTCAGCACAAAGCACTTTTGTCGAAACTCCGAAGTTAGAGCCAGTGGATTCTTCAATGCAGATTTTTCCACTCGGTGTGTAATGAAATAATAAATCGAATTTGTGGTGTATGTGGAATTAAATGTTTGGGGGATTTGCTTTTTCTTTCTTTGAAAAAAAAAAAAATGCTGAAATCACCCTCCAGGGTCTGTTCTGGTCCAAAGCTGAAAATGCTTCCTCCACATCACATGTAATTGTTACCAGGCTCACTTGTGGGTCGGCACCACAAAACCACTATTGTCAGTTCCCGGAGACTTTACTGCTGGCTGCCTGGGCTGGGCTGGGCAACACCAAATATCATGAAGGATTTATGAGATGAAGATAGAGAGGAGAGGTTTGAAGAGGGAAGAAGATGGGCCCAGGAGGGGAGTCAGGAAAAGGCAGGAAGGCATGTTAGGTTGCTGCCTCTTGCCTTTTTAATCTCCAAGCATGTAATTGGGAATATTTATGACCGTTTTCTGGAATATTTTCATTTGGGGGGGTGTGTGTGCCCGCATGTGTTTGCTTGGTGAGTAGGGGTTGGGGGCAGAGGGGGATTGAGCTGAAATAATCTCTTCCACTGAGTGAGTAAGTGGGTTAGTCTTCTGGACTGCCATAAAAGGTCTGTGAAACAGTTTTAATCAGGCACTGAGAGAGAAGAGAAACGGGGAGGGGAAAAAAAGGCTGTAACATATTTGAAGTTCTTAGGCTTGATTGCCTTCTCTTTCAGACCCACCCTGCGGAGGTCGCTTGAATTCCAAAGATGCTGGCTACATCACCTCCCCAGGTTACCCCCAGGATTATCCACCCCACCAGAACTGTGAGTGGATTGTTTACGCCCCTGAACCCAACCAGAAGATTGTCCTCAACTTCAACCCGCACTTTGAAATTGAGAAACATGACTGCAAGTAAGCACCCCCTCTGCCACTGTGTGTCCTTGTGACTCACACCCCCCACACCCCCCACCTCCCCTCCTGACCCCTGCTGCTGCTGCTGCTCTGCCCCCTACTGGTAGCAGCCCTCATCCCAGGACCTGCCAAATGGTGGGTCTGTCTTGACGCAGAGAGGAGCCTCCACATGACATTTTCTTTCGGGAGGAGTAAAGGCGACAGTATAGAGGAGAGACTGGAGTAAAGACTAGTCCCCTATCTTCAATGCTGGCCATGGATAATTCCATGTGGGGCTGGGGGGTCGGCTACAAAACACCAGCTCTAGCTTGGGGATTTATCTCCCTATTTCCATTGCTACACACATCGGAGCCCCATCAGCTTTCTTTTATAAAACAGTAGCCAGAACCTCAAGTAGAAACTTCCTCTCCATCCAGGCATGGAGGGGTCCGCTATTATTTTATGAAGCAGCAGCTGGTTTCCTTACAGGAGCAGAGTTTAAAGTCTGAGTCTATACTTTTAAAAAGTCTGAGTCTATACAAATCGGGTCCGTGGTGTGCACTGATTCTTGGTATGTGCCGCAAAAGCTAGAGTCGCAAAGCTGGCGTATGGACTTCTTTAACAAACACTCTTCTAATAGCTTTACAAATATCCATCCTTTCCATCCTCACCACAGTCCTGGGAAGTTGGTGCCATCACCATCTCTGTTGTGCAGACGGGAAAGCAGAAGCCCAGAGAAGCTAAGTGAATCCCCCAAGGTGACTCAGCTGGTCTCACTACAGTGCTTCTGTCACCTAGGAAATGTATGGTTCAGGTGATACCAAATGGGTGTTTAGCCATTTGTGAATCCTTTAGAAATGCCATGGTAGCAGCGGGGTTCCTGTAAATTGAGGTGAGGGGGCCAGGCAGTGGTAAAATGCCAGTTATGTGATTGTGTTCTGTACTGGCTAGAGGCCCTTCTCATAACATCTTTCCTTATTGAAAACAAAAGTGAAGAAGAATGTCTGCTCCAAACAAGCCACTGCTCTGATAAGTGTTCGGTGCCTCCTCAGATGAATAAATAGTCTGAACTCCCCCTGTGCCAAGGCCCTGAGTGCTGAGATGTGCATAAAGGGGCCAGCTAGCGGGAGAGGTACCAGGGAGCAGGCCTAGGGCCGGGCCAGCGCTTCCTGGTGGAGGAGACCGCCCCTCCACCGGAGCTAGACTGTCAGGCACATGAGTCAAGGTTATTGTCTCCTCCTCAGGCTACTTTGCACCTACAGATGGGTTTTCTCCTAATAAGAGGTATTCTTGATGGGAACCGAAAGCTTTCTCAGATGGATGCCTTGTGTGACGTAGGGTCATGAGACGGTGTTTCTAATCCCAGACCCACTCCTGACTCAGTGTGTGACATAAGGTAACTCAGCAGTTCCTCTTTGTCTAAGTTAAATGCGCACCATTTGCACAGTATCTTCAGGCTTCCGATTCCCTGCCAGTGAACTTTACCAAGAATTTCTGTTAGAAGAGCTTCTTTATGAGGCTTTTTTTGTGCTTGGTGCCTTTGACTGGGCTGCAGCAGGCTGGCACAGACTGCAGCATAATGTACAGAGAGCTTGGATCTGAGCTCAGAGAAATTTGACTAAGCACCTCTCTCGACTGAGGGCCAAATTCTGTTATGCTTATGCCAGCAAATCTCCCAGGGAAATTGCTAAGAGGTCATCTTATGGATATTCATAGTGGCAGGGGGAGCATGGCTTTTGGAAGCAAAAACTCAGGAGCTAGTGAACATGACTTAAAACATGTTGGGGAATACAAAAGGGGAAGAAAACATGCTTCTGCCCTGTGGAGGTTTGTGGGGGGATACCCCTTCTGCTCCCCAGGATGCAGACCTGGGGATGGGGCTCCTAGAACCTCTGGCAATGAAAGGGACAAAGACATTTCCTCTTGCTGCGTTTGAGCAGGGGAAGCAGGCGAGTTACAGGTTATCTTCTGGCTGTCATCCTTACTAAGTAACTTCCTGTTTTTCTCCCCATTCTGTCATTCCATGCTGTTGGCTTGAACTGAAAAGGTCAGGAAGGTCAGAAAAAAATCTTTCTGGGGTCTCTTTCGCCTGGTGCCAAATTGTCAGAAACACTCCATTAGGGTCAAGACTTAACTGCTTAATTTCAACCCTAATTCTCTCTCCCTCTCCAATTTCTCCTCCACTCCCCATTTCTCGCTTCTTAATTTTTTTTTCCTATTTAGAAAGACACATCCGCTTCTCTCAATCGCTCACTCTACAAGGTATTTTTAACATTTTCCCCTGGCCATTTGCTTTCAGAATAAGTGGGCCTCTCCTCCCCCACTGCCTTGTTTCACTTTCTTGTGAAAGGAACAATTAATCTAATTGAAGTCCTGGAAGTTCTGTCTTGGGCCCCCTCTTTCCCTCTCATTTTCCTTCCGAGGGAGCTCCTGGGTTTGGAAGTACTTAATATCAAAGGGAAGGAGCCTCCAAACCTTTCATTCTGTGTGCCTGTTTTGCATTGGATTTGGTCATCAAGGTCCATAGGGTGCATATTCACCAAGAGAAAATTTCCTCAACTGTCCTTCGAATGAGAGAACCCAGCAGCAACACGCTGGCAAAAAGGGAACTGAGTAAGAAAGTCAGGGGGAAAGTCAGCCCTGCTGTGGAGAAAGGCAGGGGTCAGCATGCCTGGGCTGGGCTTTTCCTTCATCTTTCTATGCCCAGGATGAACTGCAACGATTGCCCGTGACCTGCGAACAGGACCTCATATAAGGGGATTATCCTGACCACTGGCCCCTAAACCCTTGGTTCTGTGTACCTAGCCATCAGCATCCCAAAGGTCAAGGCCATTGCTGAATAAATCCCAGACAGACCTTTTCCCCTCATTGTCTTTTATTAATTTTATTCTGTTTAAGCTTACTGTCTGCTTGGAAACTTTCGCTCACAAGCTGTGGCTTTGCCTGAGTCAGTGTGATCCAAGGCCACCATCTGTGGTGAGCTCCCTGCTCCTCCCTCAGGCCATTTGCAGGAACCCAAACCCCCAGCACCCACAAGCTGTTTGGGGCCTATTCATGGACTGTGGGCAGAGCCCAGAGGTCCCCAGCGCACTGCTTGGTTGGTGTGGCCAGGGACAAAAGGTCAAGACTGGGGCCATGTGAACAAACAAGGAGAAGCTACTTGGTTCCCTATGGTAGGGAAGAGGGTCCTGCTGCCTTTCTCTTGAGTCATCAGCCTACGGGCTGAATGTTAGGGTTTTAGAAACATACCAACACAAAGTTGAATATCCTTTTCCCTTTCTGAAATCTAAAATAGATGTGCTTTTGAAAACAGCCCCCCTGTGTATGAGGTATAGCTTTCTCAGGCATCCTGCAGTGGGCAGGCATCCACCCCAGCCTGGAGGCTCAACCAAACAAAACCAAAAGCGAGAGTCTGTATCCTTTCAAAAACTGGTGTTTTCCAGATGAGTATCTTAAAAACCAGTTTCACAAAGAGCAAAAACCATTTGGAAGACTTGAAAGGACATATTTCAGGCTGAAAAGCCCACCCAGGAGTGTATACTAATGATTGTGTGTGTGTGTGCGCGTGTGTGTGTGTGTAATACAACATCACATCTGCCATGTAGCCTGAGGAGTGGCCCTTCCTCTAAGTGAAATTTCCAGATACCCCTTTAAATTCCGAAAGTCCTTTTGAAAAAAGATTTCTGATAAAGAGTGTGCTAAACCACGTGCCACACTTCCCAGCCCTCGTCAACAAAACCATTATGAGGGAGTCAGCTTTTCCTTGATGATTCAAGCTTCTCTTTCTAGATTTCACTCTGTGACAGAGGCTGAGTTGTGTCAAATCTAGATCAGATAGCTATGATTTGAATTTTTGTTGCCTTTTTAAACTCCCCAGGCCTCAGTTTCCTTATCTGCAAAACAGTGATAGTAACAACCACCTTGCAAGAGCGGGGTCTTGTTTGCGTAAATGTATAACACATTAGCAACCGTGTTAGGATCTTTGTACTTTGTCAAAGTTTTCTCTATCCAAGGTATTGCTGCACTTTGGATCTGAGTACCCTGCCACCTGGAGCTTCCTCTTTTGACCTGCCTTTTACCCTTCTGTTAGGGATGGGTTTTACTCAGGAGGTCTTCCTGCCTATTGGGAAGTTTTGGTTCTGGGAGTCTAAGCTTTACTCCCAGGTCAGGGCAATCCCAGGACCAACTCACCTGGCTTGCTTCAGCCAGCCAAGCTCACAGCAGAGTGAGGACTGGGGTACCCCATCCCCAGGGAGCATCAGTATGTGGAGTCCTTGGCATTAATTGAGCTGTTCATGAGCTTTTTTCTGAATTCCCCCCACCCACTCACCTTCTACCTTCCCATTCTGGATAGTCCTAGGTTTTGGAGACATTCGACCTCAGGCTAAGTGTCCTGCATAAACTAGGTACTCTTGTGTTTATTTGTAACAAGAGGAGCTGGGCTAAATAGATGTCTGTTTTTCCCAAAGGTTAATATCTTAGAAAGGTAGTGATTTCCCAGGTTGATAAATTGACTACAGCAAACAGAAGGAACAGACTAGACCTCAGTGATCCAGACAACAAAGATTCGCTGAGTTCAGTAAATACCCTTGATTCTAGTCAAACAAGCAAATACAGCCTCCTGTCTGCACGAGCCCTGGTGAATGCCCAATGCTCAGGCTCACCTCCCTCTGCCCTCCTCCGTGACGGGTTCCTCTTCCCCTCAGTTTCCTTGATTCCACCAGTTCTTTCTTATGGGCCCCTACTCTGAACTTGCAGACCATTGCATATCACCTGGATTTGCTTGCCTTCAGCACATGTAGTCATCTGTGCTCTGAGCACATGACTTCTCAGACCACATGTGTCTGTCCCCTGGAGGATGCTAAGCAGATGAGTGCAGGTGATGTTTCTGTGCTACTTTTACATTTGAGATGCCAGGACCTAGGCCAGTGCAGCATGAACTTGCATTGAAAGGCAGACAGCTGCCTTCTCTCCTCATCCATCTTATGATGTGACACAATGACAGCAGAAGGACAAGTCAC